TCTTAGGATCAGGACTTGATCTGATGAGACTGGTGTCCTTATAAGAAGAGGAAGAAAGGTCAGTTACACAGAGGAAAGGCCACATGAGGACACAGCAAGAAGGTAGCCTTCTTCAAGCCAAGGAGAGTAGCCCCAGAAGAAACCCCCAATGCTAACACCTTATCTTGGGTGCTACCCTCCAGAACTGTGACAAAACAGAGCTCTATTTTCTAAGCCACCTTAGACTGTGGTATTTTGTTATGGCAGCCTTAGTGTTACATACCACCCTTCCAAAGCCCTGCCTGCAGCAGTGTTGGCTATTGGCCCTTGTCTAAATACTTGACCTGTAACTAGTGTCCTACAAAAAAAACCTTTCCATAAAATGGTAAGACTGGTTCACTTTTCCTCAAATGTCTATATAAACAATCTGGTTTATGTTAAACACCAGATTTCTTTCTTGGAATTTGGAATTTTGGTAACCATTAGGTATAGAGATCCCGCATGATCAGCCCACAATAAAAGCCTCTGTTGCCAAGTTTCTAATGGGCTTTACTGAACTGAAACTCCACATGTATCTTGCTGTATTTTCACTGCAGGGAGATGAGCTTGTATAGTCTATGTGGAGTTCTGTGTTTTTACAAATCTTTGTGGAGGTAGACCTGGGGACCACTGGCATAATTACCTAACCAAATCAAGAATGTGGAAGTAAAGCTGGTATTGCTGACCCTAGTCCTAAATAGCCTGGCACTTCTACTTTTTCTTTTCTTAAAACAGTCACTGTAGAGGAAGTCAGCTACCATGTAACAACTCCATTCTCAAAGGATTATACTGGGAGGAAACTCAAGCTAGTTCCTGGAGAAGAGGAGGATGAAGGAAGGGATTGCAAAGGAAGGACAGGCCAACAGGCTTTCAGGAGTTCCAGTCATATAGGCAGGTATTGGATTGGTGAATAAAGGGGTGATCTTCATCATCTACCTTACTTAAGCCTTCAGTTTACTTAAATATGCAGATTATAGATAATAGATCCCCCTTAACTTCTATTCCCATTATAGAACATATTGATGACATTTTTATTTAAAATTACTTTCATAACTGCTATGTTTTGAAATTCCCCTCCAAAACTCATATTAAAATTCAGTTGCCACTGTGATGGAAATAAGAGAGAGAATCCTCAAGAGATGATTAGACCACAAGGGCTTTGCCTTCATGAGTAGAGTGAGATCAACATGGTGGGAATGGGTTCCTAACAAAAAGGTTGAGTTCAGTCCCATTTCCTCTCTTTTTCCCATCTACTCAATTACTTGTCCATGTTATGATGCAGCAAGGAGACCCTCACCAGTAGCTTGCACCACACCCTTAGGTTTTCTAGCCTCCATAACTATGGTATAAATAAAATTCTGTTGTTTATAATTCATCCAGTATGTGATATGCTGTTACAACAGCAGACAATTGACCAAGACATTAATATCAACTGATCCTTTAAAATAATCATAATGTGAATTTATATTAAAAATTCATCATCTGTTCCTTGAAAAATTTTACCTAATCATTTTGTCAACTAAGTACCAATGAATCACATTTTTCTCCTATAATTATTGATCTATCAGAAACTGCCTCAAATGACTTCATGTCTAGCTTTACCTGTGTGCTTTTCAGTTATTTAACAGAGAAAATAGATTATAAAATGAGTATTAATTTGGGGATTGAATATTAGCCTAAGCAAAGTCAATATCCTCTACCATATCACATTTAATCTTTCTGTTTTATTACCATAGTAAAAACCAGTCAAATAAAAAAAAACTTCATTAGTGTTTATATCATGATATTTAGTTATTTATGATACCATAAAGATAATTTATAGAGTGAAACTTGGGAAATATAGAGAACAATATAACTAGAATCATCTTTCGTTTTGTCTTTTCAGTATATGCTATGTATGACCCATCCTATGTATTAATACCTTCCACTAGCTCAACATTCAAAATGTGTTCAATATTCAACCAATTCTTACCTCTTCAATTTTACCACTCCAGTTTAAACTATAGGAACCTTGATTTCCTTCTTTTATCATGTCCTTCAGATATCTTCATAAAAGCCAAGTAAAAGTTTTAAAATAAAATCTGATTATTCTATTGTTTTTTTTTTTTTTCTGAAAATGCTCCAGTGGTTTTCTGTTCCATGCAAAGTAAGATACTGAGTCTAACACAGCATACAATACCTTTCCTAATAAGGTTTCTCTACGGCCTGATCTCTTAAACTACCTGTTCTCTCATTTGCTCTTCTCCACTCCACTGCCAATTCTGAATACGTAAACTGTTCTCTTTCCTCAAAACTTTTGCCTCTTAACTTGGAAGCATGAGTGGCTTTCTCCCTTTTTTATTATTATGGTCTCAACCAAAATGTCCCCTACTCAAAACAGGCCTTCTTTGAACATCCTTGTTTAAACCGAAACAAGATATCTTCCTTCAATGGTTCTGAATTTCCAAAATGAACCATGGTTTTAGTAGACTAGTTTTCCCAGAAGAAAAGGGAAAATCAAGTCCTTCAATCAGTCACCAACACTTATCTTTCAGACGTTTTGGTCCTCCAATATCAGAGTGGATGGTGATGGGTTGCTGCACATACTTTATTGTAGGAGGCTAAGGAATATCCCTCACCCATGCAACATTCATGGAGAAAAATATAGCACTTTGTTTTCTAGTTAGCGTATTGGTCAAGTATCATAATCTTAGAGAGAATTTTAGACACATAGGAATTATAACATTATATTTTTTCCTGCTATATTTATAAGAAAAATTACATTTTCCATGGTTTCAATTATTTTCAACAGATTTTTGAAATTTATGATATACCAGACTGCTAAGTACTTCTAAAGATATTTTCAATACATTTTGCCTTTACATAAAGATAAATAAATATTCCATTACTCATTTACATAGTGAAAATTTATAAATTAAAGATAAAAGAAGAAAATGCTGGAGTTTTATTTCATAATTTTGAAATTTAAATTTTACATACTTTTAGGTACTAATGACATCATTTTACAAGTGATAAAATTTTTTAAAAAAACATAAATATTCTTTTCACAAAAAAAGTAATTTAAGAAAGACTACATTAGCATCGAATGTCAATATTACATATTATAAGCACTTGAAAGTTTTAATTGCTTATAAAACCACTTAAACACATTAACTTAGAAACAATATTGATCTCTTAGAACCAGTTAAAGAATCTAAGTAGAATAATTATATTTATATTAGCATTATGTCAGCATATTCTGGAACATATTTGACCTACTTTTTTACCTTTGTTAAAAAATACATTAATTTTTGAGGACTGCAGTCATTATCAATATATTAAAAAGAGAAAATGGTTTCTGGTGAAGCTTTCAGAGTTCAAGTAAAGTCTTGTTAAAGATTTGTTTCTTCTATAAATTTCATCCCACATGACAAATAAAATGGAAATATCAAGTCATGCTAAACTTTGAAGCATTAGTATTATGTTCTCATTTTAATATAAAATAACAAATGAAATATTTCTCAATAAATAATGGAATCAAATATTATTCTGCATGTAACCATTCTTTTGATACAGAAATTAGCTTTTAACAATTATTTCTTTATTATTAAGCAAACAAAGCATCCATAAGGGGAAAACTAAACATTCTCAATGGAATTCATGACCTTTTATAATTTTCAACAATATAGAAATACTGAGTATAAGAAATCCATAATTAGGCATAAGCAAGATGAAGTTCCTCATGGTTTGGATGTGAGATGTTCCCCAATACTTCATGTGTGAGACAATGCAAGAAGATTTAGAAGAGAAATGATTGGGTTAACCCAATCCATGAGTTAATTCCCTGAAGGATTATCTGAGTGATAACTGAAGGTAGTTAGGGTGTGGATGGAGGAGGTGGGTTGGGGGCATGCCTTTGGGTTATGAATTTTCTATCTGGGGAGCAGAATATCTCTCTCTCTGCTTCTTGATCATCCTGAAAGCCCATTTCCTCCATACTCTTCTGCCATGATGTTCAGCCTCACCTCCAACCCCAGGGAATGGAGCCCACTTTCTATGAACTGAAACCTTAGAAACCATGAGCCCTCAAATAAACTTTTCCTCCTCTATAATTATTCTTGTCAGGTCTTTTAGTCACAGCAGTGAAAAAGCTGACTAAAACAAACTTCAATAGCATAGAGTTTTGACATGAACAAGGAAAAATATCTCATAACAATAACACTTTTATGACAAATCATGAAAATCATGAGTCTCAAAAGTATGAACTGCTCTTTTAAACCAAATTATACAGAAAGCAATGCAGGTGTCTACATCATTCCAATTTTATCAGTTTTTTTCCTCATACTCTTAAGAATTGCCTTTATTTATAATAATTCTAATTATATTCACTTTTGCTTGGTACAAATATAAAATAGCTGATCTTCAAGTGTTGGCTTAAAGTGAAACACCTGTTCTTAAATGGGGAAATAACATACTTCATATTTGTAATGTACATATAGCATCTCTACTCATAGCATTTAAATATTTATTTGCATATTCGCTTAAATACTTAATAAATATAATATATTTCAGAGAATGAGTCCATATTTCAAATCTTAATGTTGACTTTTATTTTGTAATGATTACATCATTACTTTTTGGTGACCTAGCATTGCTAACAAAAATGTAACTGCTGATAGGGCTTAAATAATTCATTCTAAACCTTTAACTTGAATTAGTATAAACAACAGACGTGAAATTCCTAAATCACATGCATCAAAGATTATGATTAAAAATCCCTATATCTTAGATGTAGGGCAAACAACTGTTCCACAAAGTAGTTAACACCTTTACCTTCAGCTAGCAATAAAATAACAATGGAGAGAAAAAATAATGGTTTAAATATTTGAAATMATGTTCTAAAAGATTAAAGCAGCTTACCTTGCTTCCTATGCATCAAGTATCTAAACTATTTTTTAACCTAAAAATATGAAAAAAAAATTCCTTTCTGGTTATTTCTTTACCTTGAAAGGCACTGGCTCTTCAGTGAGAGGACTAACAGGAAGCGAAGTGGTGCTGCTTGCTGGGCTCATGTCTGCACTCTGTGAAGAAAGAAAAACTACAATGAACAGGGGCCTTTCTGGAGTCATTCTTGCCACTCGTACCTTAGAATCCAATGCTTTTTGTTATAAGAAACAGATAAATAAATAAGGACATATAAGAATCCAAATCATGATTATTTAATCATCGCTCATATAGAAATAGTTATCTGGGAAATTAATCAAACTATCSTTCTTCATGCATCTTTTAAGTGTATTTCATTAAATAGAATGGCTACCAAATGCATCTCATAAATACAAAGATATTTAGCATTATCTTTGCTGAACGCATAGATTTGCATTTTCTTTTAAAAATTAATCTGTATCTGTAATGACCTATTACATTGCTATTTCAATGCCTTTTAGTTGATTTTGCAACATGCATCATGCATTTTTTTTCCTCCCACAGAAATTTAAGTTAATGGACCTAGTTTTATTTTTCATCATAGAAACCATATCTGTCAATAATATACAAATGAAAACTAAAGAAATATTAAATTTAAGAAGTTCCTATATTTATAGTTTCTGGTATTCTAAAAGCTCTCTTACATTTTTCTAGATAAAAAAATAAATACAAAGCATGTAATCAAATATAAGAGAATGATAGGAATGTTGTTAACACTGTCCTAATCCTTTGAAAATATAATCCATTAAAACTTCTTAAATAAGGGCTGGGGTTGTGGCTCAGTGGTAGAGCGCTTGCCTAGCTGGGTTTGATCCTCCACACCATATAAAAATAAATAAATAAATAAAAACAAAGGTATTTTTAAAAAAATTCTTAAATAAAAGATTAACCTTTAAAAAGACATGGACTTAGAAGTTCATTATTAATTTAATTTACAAAAAGGAAGAAAAAAGATACTAATAATAGGCAGCAACAGAAGACACTTCATTATATTCTTAACACATTCTCTCAGGATATTTTCCACTCAAGTAGATAAGCAAATAAAAATTTGAAAATAATGTATGCTCATATTTTTCTACTTGGTTTCAAATATACATGCACACAAATACAGAAAAAAATCTTAATGAAGTTTAAATAAAGAGTTAATCTTAACTCAGATAAGAGAACAAGTTTGCCTAGATGGTACAATTGCTACACATTCTTAGTGTCTATTCAAACATTATTTCAATTCTTTTGATTAAAATGTACAATAAACTGAACATATTTTAGATAGCCATTAAGATTACTTTAGATTTACTATTCCAGAAACCATGAATAAGAACTCTGAAATAGGAATGAAGATATTCAGTATAATTTTCACATAATATATTGCAACTATTTTAGAAATTGATATAAGGCTACGTATTTAAAATGTTGGTAGGAGAACTCTGGTAAAATCTGAACAATACTTTTAATCTACTAAAAGTAGAAAATACATGTAGCAAATACTTGAATGAGTTGCTCATTCTCTTTTATTTCTAAATTTATCTAGAGATTCCAGGATATTTAACTGATAAAAATTAGGAAATATTATCAATTATTGCCTGTCACTATCTGATTACATGACACAAGAGAGAAGTAAAGCTTTTCTAATCAACCAAGCTATTGGAGGATTCTAATAGAAGAAATGAATGAAACGTTTTGCAGAAATAGAAAAAAATCATAAGCAAGACTCCTTGAGCTGCTTTTGTCAGTGTGGGATTTTGCATGAGATTTTAAGCAAGTGACAGAAAAGATTATACATAGATGAATTATCTGATATTGACTCATAACATTGATAGTCTGCATATCCTATTAATAAATCAACCCTTAAAAATGTATATTCAGGAGACAGTGGTAACATTCAGTTTTGGAAATTCAAAAGCCTGGATCATACTCTTGCAGATGAAAGGTTTTGAACTCCCATAAGACAATGAGCTTAAAATCAAGCTCTATAGCAAACTTTCTCAAGGGCAGAGGTCTCCTACAACTTCCTGGAAATAAATGTGTATAATTCTAAAGAATTTTGGAAAACAGATTCCAAGCTTCATTGCCTCACATAACACTGATTATTTGAATGTCATTCTTAAAGAAAACTTTGTTCTGGCTTTTACTGTCAAATCCATTTTATAGTAAGTGTTACATTTTAGTTCTGTTGCTCTAAGGAAATCTTGAGATAAATGTTTTGAAAAACAAATCAATCTACATGACAACATTTGATATACTGCACTAAATTATCGAGTTGAGAAAACATAAAAAAATCAGAAGTATCTTCATTTATTATTGTTTCTCCATTTCCTTTTCAGTGTTCTATAATTTATGTGTCATTCCACTATGTTTATGCTTTTTTAGATAGAATTACAGTAAACACTTGAAGATAAGTTTTTTCTGTACTTTATATTTTAATCCATTTGCCCTTTCCTTTGAAGATAGTAATATTTATGCAAGTGTCTACCAAAATATACACTAATGGCAGTTGTGGTGACTGTGCCTATAATTCCAGTTACTTTGGTGAGAAGGGAGGATCCAAGTTCAAGACAGCCTTGGAGACCTGGAATCTGTCTCTAAATAAAATAAAAAGATCTGTTGTTGCTCAGTGGTAAAGCATCCCCGAGTTCACATATAGAATATATATGATAGACATTATATATATGAAATCCTTTTGTAAGTTACTTTTTGAGTTTTCAAAAGGTAGCAATATATGTTAATTCACAATTTTCTTAATAAAATAATGCTAAATTTTTATATTTCGGAGACTCTGGGAATGGTTGGTTGACAACAAAGTGAAAGTGAATCCCAAGAGATTCATTAACACACTTGGGCTTTGATATCCAGTGAAGACTGCATTAGACATTTTTGTATAAGAAGCCTATCCGGAATCTAAGAAGTGTCCTGGGCCTGGCTGGTTCTATATCCAACAGATAAACTGTTTCTTTCTGATGCTACAGTGAATAAATAATATGAACCTAATATTTTTCTACCCTTAAAGTATTCTTCCACTCAAATTAGCAGACTTCGTTTCTATCTCATGTCATCAACAATATTTTATTTTTCTCTGAATTGAGCTTCATGTTACCTATGTTCTTTAAGTTCAATAATAAAATCTAGACAGATATTTACTTTTGAACATTTTGTACATGTTCTGGTGAATATCATCCTCTTCTCAATGCATGTTGTGCTCTAGAATTCTCTTTACTTGACTAATTTTAGAGAAACTACTTACTACTTTGTTACTGCTGTTTCAGAACATGAGTCTTCTATGTCATGGTTTGTATAGGTGTCATCCATAGACACATGTGTTAAAGGCTTGGTCCCCAGACTAGGGCACTACTATTGGGAAGTGATGGATAGAGGCGGGGCCTCCTTGGAAGGGGATATTGAGAACCAGCCATTCTCCTTTCTGTCTTTTACTCCCCAGCCATCATGTGGTAAACAACTTCTATGACCACACACTATCACCTCTCCAAACAAATGGGTCAAATAACTATGGACTGAGACCTCCAAAACTGTGAGCCAAAATAAACCTTTCCTCTTTTTAAGTTGGTTGTCAGGCCTTTCTTTAAAGAAACAGAAAGCTGACTAAACACCCTAATTCACAAGTAGTCTCACGTCTGTCATCTCAAAGACTGGTTCTTTTTAACTATTTGCTTATCTTTGTCCTTGATGGAAAATAGAAAACAAGAAGAAATAGAAAATGCTATTTTAAATAAAATGCCAAGAGATGGGGAGGGGATATTACTCTGTTCAACAGATTGCTCAATGGAATTAACTATAATGGAAGTACAAAGATGATTTACAAGCACCACACCATTTATTAAACTGTGCCACACAATGAGAGCAAATACCAAGGGTCTTAAATGAAAGTGACACCAGACTAGAGAAAAACAACAGCAGGACCCACTATAATTTCTCCCAGCTCCTATGAGATAACTTCTATAAATGTACAGAAGAATTAATGATGATTTATCCAGAGGCACTATATAAGAGATAAGTTATCTCACTGAAATCCTCACATTAAAGTATCATTTTATGTACTCTGACTACCAACCTAGTACCTACTCTATCACCACTGCAGCCAGAACTACCATAGTTATCACTGTTGATGGGGTGAAAGTGTATGAGTTATAAGAACAAAAAGTGAACAAGAATAAACAGGCAGATCATAATTGTCAGTCTCCCTCAGATAAATAGTAACTATGAAAGAAAATATTTTATTATAATAGTGGTTTCTTTCCCAGGTGAAATTTCAGATGATAGTTTGGGAAAATGGAATATCACCAGAGATTTGGGTGTTCAGTTAGAAATTTGATCATATCTACTGATATTGCTTTATGGACAAGTGGCAAAGTACACAGTCCAGCGCCCTGGCACTTAGTGCATGTTGCTTAAAGTATCAGGAAAATTGAAGGGTAAGACTCACTATTAACAGTTACTAAATCAGAAAAGAACATGGAAATTTTGAGCATTACATCCCTTAACTTTCACTATTATATTTATTATTGATACAAATTTGTACTTAGTTTAGTAATATTGAGAGACACAATTATTATTCCCTTAGACATGAAGAGATGAAGAACACTCAGATGATTTACAAATGGTCCATCACTTGTACTTATAATGTTCTGACTATGAAATTTCAAAATGAGCTATTTATATAATCATGATAAAATTTTAAATTTAAATTTAGTTTTAAATATTCTTAAATCACAAATGAGGAAGTTATATCTGTGAGAATGAGAGAAATTTTTCACAAGCATTTGGCAATATATTATGAGGCATATTATGTTTTTTTTCTCTGATTATGGGTAAATACATTAATTTATTTAATAAAAATGTTCTTTATTAACTTGGATCTTGGTATCTTCTAACAAAGGAACAGAGATCCTCAGTGAAATGGCTGACTCCAGCCAGAAATGGGGCATGGAATGTACAAGATGATTCTGAAGTTTATTGGCTTGCTAGAAAGTAAGAGAGTGCTCACAAAACAGGTAAGAGTATGCCAAAGAGAAAAGCCAAYATTAACAGTGCTCCCAAATGCCAGAGTTGAAATGATATGAAGAAAAATAAATAAATAACGTAG